AAGGGATTAGAGTACACTAATCTTTACACATTATATAAACTACACTAACTTGATGTTTTAGGTGGTTCGTTTAACTATTATACGTGATGTACGTTTTTTGGAGGGTGGTTAATGAAAGTGTTCCAAAACGCGACATTAATTTCTTGACGACCTAATATCTCTATATCTGTTTGCACGAGATAATACTTTCGTATACAGTAAGTTTCTGTTAAACAAAATAAAATAATTTACAATACATTTTGCTGGGTATAATTTCTGTACAAAGTAACACTGATTTCTAAATAAAGCTATTATGTTTTTTTTTTCCATTGCTAATTTAATTCACTGATGTCAACAGCTGGAATTTAATTTTATTCCTCTGTAATAGAAATAAGATTAAAAAATCTTAAACTTTACAAACTTCGCTTTGCAGCCGACTTCCTCTATCTCTCTCAAAATACATGAATTGGCAAAAAAGGTTAAAGATCAACAAAATATTTTCTGACTGTCAGGCAGTGATAACAGGACAATGTGGAAAAAGGAACTAATTAGATTAAGCTTTATTTAGTTATTGCGTTATAAACAGGGAACTGTTAGTCCATTAAAACTTGTCACTATGAATAATGTTTTGTTTTTATAAAACAGTTTAACTTAATGGGAAACAAAAGATAGTCAAACACAAACAAAATAAATTACTTTACTTACACAAGCCAGTCATGTAAACGGGATGTTGTAGATGGTGCACTGAAGAGTTACTTCATCTAGACGTGCACCTTTCTAGGCTGCGCTCTGCAGTGGCCGTTGTTTGTCAATGCTTGGCCACGCCTAGTGCTCTGCGACTGTCTATAGTCAGTTGATGCAACAAAGGAGTGAAGGGGGTTATCAGGATGTTGTCGCAGGGGCATACAACAAATGAAGTGGAAGACACGAGCAAAACCTGCTCTGTATTTGGAGTTCATCCAGCAGTAAATGAAAGGGTTGCAGCAAGCATGGCTCATTGCTAGCCAATGACAAGCAAACCATATGTATTCAATGTGTGGGAAGTAATAGATGCTCGGGTTATGGTCTCCGGCGACTAGCAGAGTGTTAAGGGGTAGCCAACACAGGGTGAAGGCTGTGACACAGGTGATCATCATTTTTATCATCTGGAATAGAAAAGTGTGAAGAAAAACAAGAAGACACAACTGGAAAGATTTGAAATTTAATCCTTAAAGATTCAAGACAGAATATAAAGTTTTCTATGAAACGAGAAACATTAATTTTTGTTTTGAAGTTGAAAACCAGAATTTAATCTTACTGAGTAAGAAAGAGATATATAGGATTGTTATTCAGCTTCTACATAAATTTGTTAGTTAGATGAAATGTACTGTTATTTCAGAATTTCACATGTGAGAAATTAAAAGATTAATTATATATTCGAAACTAAAATCTCTTCAACACCTGTGAAATACTTAAGCAACAAAACTAGTAAGTGGTAAAAAGACAGACGAAAAACAACTTGACACTAGGTTGATACTGAAATGTGTTGCGAGTGAAGAATAGGAACAGAGAAGTAAAGGAGAAGAAATAATGAGGACATTTTCATGCAATGACTCCATCCAAACTAACTATAAAATAAAGGGTTTGAAACGTGCAAAAACTACTACGTAACACAACGCAAGTTCCTTTACACATTACATTACACTAACAGATCATGTTTTCTTTGTCTAACATCTGTTATTAACAATTATGTAGGACACTATCTCCTACGTAACTATATTTGTATTTTGTATTTGTGTAAAAGCTACTGTTTATAATATATTTAATTCATTTTTTTTATTGTATTCCTGTTTCATTAATAGAAACTCCCGACCTAAAACTGACTGGAAACTATGAGTTGTAGTTTAAAAGTGATGCCACACCTATAATGCACCTAAAACTTATTTGTGTGATTTTAACCAGATAATTTGATTTAATTTTGAGTCATGTAGGAAAATGTGAAGTCTGTAATTCAGGTTTTAAAAAAAATATAAAATTTGGTTTATTAATCATCTCAGAAATTTGAGCCCATTTAGTTCAAATGTGCACAAAATAAAAATAAAGTTGTTAAATAATATTAACTGTAGGTACTAAAAACGGCTTTCTGTTTAATCAGATAAATAATGATAAAAAAGCATGTATTATTTAAACCCTACATTCTCATGAGTTGAATTTGATCTTCGACCATTCAAGAGAAGGAAATTAGATTATATAATACTTTTTTTTCTTTAATTAACTAAGTTTGAATTGGAAAGAAAGCTTAAAAATGAAAGCTATAATACAATATTTACTTAAGTAAAAATATAAACTGTACAGTTCCCTATAAGTACATTTAGATTTTCATAACATGGACTTTTAATTCCATGAAAATTCTATCAAAGCAGAATACATGAAATTATAGAAAACAAAAAGGCCTAAAGCATGAGATCTCGTTCCTTTTTGTTAGCCAGATTAGTTAACTACCAAAAATTCTGCCATTAAAAAATAACTTTAGTTTCATTACACTTTTTTTTTGTCCAGTGCAGTAAATTGCCTGTTGAAAATTAATTGATATTAGTTTATAACTAAGCATAGAAACCGGTCTGAGTTTATCGAAGATAACATGAAACATACTAAACATAATTTGGTATAAACTGTCAACTGTATGTGTTCCATGTTTATATAACAGAGGGACTTTTACTAAATACAGCGTTCCATACATCCTGTAGTTATATTTAACTGTCATTTTTTGAAATAAAACAAAGCTTTTTATAGAGTTAAAGAAGCAATACACAGATACTAATGAAGCATCATGCATGTGTTCACGCTACAGCCAAATGATTCCATACTTTAACTCTTTAAAAGGAATATTAATTAATGTGTGTTTCTAACACGTTACTTACTTTTCGTTTCGAAGCAGCCAGTCGCTGATCGCGGATGTTTTCGGCCTCCCCTGGAGTTTGCTTTCCCCATACAACAATAGCGATCCTGGTGTAGGTGAAGATAAGTACAATCAAAGGAAGGAAATACTGTAGAAGCATAAGGGCCATGCTGTAGTAATATCTTTGTATTGGTGTACTCCAATCTTCGGTACAACGATAACCCTCAGTGTCGTTCTGTGGAACTAACTTGGAAACAATGGCTGTCGGTAGGGGTGTTAACAGCGCCACTAACCATACTGCAAGAATCAGCAGCTTAGCCTGCAACTTAGTCATTCTTGGCCGCAAGGGCTTAATGATAGCGATGTATCTATCTATACTAATTGTTATTAACGTGTAAGCACTAACAAATACAGAGACGGCTTGGGCATAAGTGAAAATCACACAGAAAACAGCACCGAATGGCCACTGTCCAAGAATAAGATTGACCACGAAGGTGAAAGGAATGCACAGAACGGCCATTAAAATGTCACCGACAGCAAGGTTAACAATGAAAAAGTTGGTTACAGTCCGCATCCGTGGATCAGAGAGCACAATATAACAAACAATCCCGTTCCCACCTATAGCTGCCAGGGATATCGCTATGTACATAATATACATGAGAACCTGAACACCTATAGGGACAAGACTTCCGTATGCAGGAGTGTGAGGGTTAGTATTGTTATCTTCCTTAGAATCACGGGAAAGATCCATGGAAATGTTAATTCCAGTGAATACTTTTGTTTCCCATTGACCAAATATCGAGTCGTTAATAATGTCCGCCATTCTGGTGTTGATTTGATATTGGAAAGCTGATCAAAGGTTCTCTTTCATAGGGTTACACGGAAATAACATATTTCGCTACCTGCAAAAAGATAAAAAGATATATATCCTAATAGTTACGATATTTTAAAGTTGTTTTTAAAACGACAAGTAGAAGTAAACGAAATACCAGAAAAAAATACAAAAAAACACAACTTTCTTCTCAGATATTATACTGATAATCGAGAACAAAAAACAAACAAACAAACTATAATTCAATTTTTGTATAAGTAAAACGAGTACAGTTGTGAGTTTAAAACGGAAGGAGCTTTAATCCAACCTTTGTATAAGTATAACGAGTATCGTTGTGAGGTTAAAACGTAAGGAGCTTTAATCCAACCTTTGTATAAGTATAACGAGTGTAGTTGTGAGATTAAAACTTAAGGAGCTTTAATCCAACCTTTGTATAAGTAGAACGAGTATGGTTGTGAGGTTAAAACGTTCAGTAAACCTTTATAAGAGTGTAGAGGAAAGTGTTTTTTTTTTTATACACAGTCAAGAAAGAGATTAAATAAGTATGTTGTAACTTATTTGAAGAAGTGAAACTTAGAGAAGCGGTATTGGAAATCCAATTCCTGATCATGAAACAGGCTCTCTGATAAACAAAGTAATCGGTATAAAATCTCTGAAGCTCCGTTCTTTTTGTACTTCTAAAAGTAAAAACTACTTCTCTTGAGGATAAAAGTTGTTTAGATTGTTGATTAGATATAGTAGAAACCATTAAACTGCTTAAAAACAAAATTTAAATACAATGTGTTTTGTATATCAATATTTGGATAATTTGATGACTTATGATTGTTTCTCTAGTTCTGCGATTATTCAAGTGTCTTAAGAGGTTTTATTAGGATTGTTATTAAAAAACACACTGTAAATTTCAGAATAACAATCTGTAAAAATTAATAACTTCGTATGGTATGTACGTCTTCTACAAACTGGCGAAGAATGATTATCATAAGACATTAGTATTAGGCCTGTAATATTTTTTAACACTAAGGGACGAGATATAAAGATGTAATAGATCGAACGTCTTATGACAAATATAATTGTAATAACTTCTTATATTTAATGTTTAACATTAAATATTGCATTAAGATCACATTTTATATTCATTTTACCTTTAAAGATGAATATTTTATACTATCTTAATAACTCATCTACACTTTACTGTATGTCAGTAAGTCATACATTATTATCGATGTGGAGGCTTAGAAATCGTATTTTATTTTAATTTTAACTCACTTTTAAGCTTATTTGTGTTACAAAAATATTCCTAAATTAGTGATTACTGAAACAGACACATTTATTAAGGTATAAGAATATTTGGTTTTGGCTACATAAAATATTTAAAACCCTTGCTGGTATATTTAATTGTTAATTGAAATAAATCAGTATCATGTATTCAAACAAGGATTTCACATTAAATTTTTAATAGAATACGTTGTTGTAATGGTACCCTTTAAAATTAATCTTTTCAAATATGAATGATTCCCAGGTAATTCTGCCACCTACAATTTTCACCCAAAGGCAGATTTTCGCATATATTTTACAACCTATCTTGTCGTATTGTATGTGAATAAAGTTTGATACAAACGCATAGTTTTGATAAAAACCTCGTAACTTATGTATACATAAACGGCTTTTAATTAATTAAGCCACTGGTTACATACTGGAGAGCATTTTTGTAAAAAATGATAAAACAAAACTTAAAATAAGTCCAACAGACAAAAGTCATTAAAGTTTGTTAAAAATCAAAACGTATCTTATGCTACATTCAGTGTTAACATTGGAGTACAAGACATGAAATGATACACTGGTCAGCGCAAGAAATCGGATTTAGTTTGTTTATCAGCAATACAATACCGACTAGAGACGTTATAGCATCAAACTGGTGTAATGTAAGAGCTAAAAGCTTTTCCGTCTTAGATTTTTGTTATAAAAGTCTTTAAAAGCATTTTAAAAACTTAAATGAACTACAATATTCCTTTTTGTTTGATCACAAGAACGTTACAGGTTTATTTATTATGACTTACTCTTAATTTCAGTTTAAAGAAATTCAATATCTGTTTACATAAGCCTGACAACTAGTTCGACCCGACTGTTGAACCGTGACAAGTATATTTTTAAGGTGTAAATTAAAGTATTTACTTTATGCTACTAAACTATATATTATTAGAACTGTTTTACTACTATTGCTACAATGTTTATTTGGGTAAAGAGACTTACGTGTTCCTTGTGGGGTGTGATTTTCTAAACATCGAGAGTGTTGTTTTAATTGCAGCATAATGTTCAATTTTCTTCAAACGATTTGTCATAGTACTCTGTACAATAAGCTTAACAGCACCGCTTACAATATGCTTTAAAACATACTTTCTAATCAGTTAACAATTTACTATAAAACAAACTTAAAAGCATGCTACATAACATACTCTACAACATATTTCATAGTATATGTTTCAAAATATGTATGAAACTACATTTTACAGAATATCTTACAATATGCGACATATCTTTTTCTACAGCATATTGATAATGAGTTATAAGATAATATTCACAATGTATTGTACAGTATTATTCAAAAATGAACATCTAATAAAATATTAATGTAATTTTTGAATATTCCATATAATGTTCTAAAAGTACGGGTATTTTTTTTCATACATTAACCTGAAAAAATACGCCTCTATATGGATTAACCTTGTACGAAAAGAAAAATATTTGAAAACGTGGAGATAATGAAAAGTTTTATCTGTTTACTTATTAGCTCATTTTTGCTATCTTTATTATATTATTCATATCTTCAGTTCACGTAAGTTCTTTCCAAAAGTCACTTATTGTATGTCATTTGCTTGAGACATCTGAAGATGCTTTGTGTCGACCATGTCACTTCTAAGCTGACTTTTAAAATCTCGTGTAAAGCAGACTGGGTTTCTCCGTATAGATCTTAGTGTTCATAACACAAGCATCTGCTGTGAAACGTCCCTAGAAAGATGACACTGCTAAAGACAGAATTACCATGAGTATTTTATAGGTGACATTCAAGACGGGATAAAAGCACTTTCTGGACGGGACTTTAAAGTATAGCATTCTGAATATAACAATATAAAGTTACGAATTAATCTTATATGCTACAGTCATGAGGTTGAGAAAATAAAACCGCATAGTTATGTATTATAAGTGTTGAATGTACATCTTTTCAGTGCATTGTAATTAATTTTAGGTGGTATAAATGCAGAGGTTAAACAAATATCAAAGAATTCCTAATGTTAAGTTTAGTAGAACATATATATATATATATATATATATATTATCAGAATACTATGCCTGAATGAAATTGCCCACATAATTCTGTGCTGTGATAATGGCTCTACTATGGGCCAGTGGTAAAATCTAGGGATAGATTTCCCGCGGTGGATAGAATACAGATAGCTCACTGTGTAGCTTTTCACTAAGGAAACATCAATATTTAACGCCACCTTACAGACATTTTTACCAAATTATGGTATATGCAAAATTTAAAAGCAAAAAGAAATTTTAGAAATCATCTTAGAAACGGTGTTCTTATCCTACTGTCTAATGTATTGTACAAAAGCTGAGTATTTTTTTCAGGAAAACAGCAACATTTGAAATGTTTATCGCGAAAAAAACTATCGTAAAAGAAAAACGAGTCTTTGTAACATCCTTCAAAAACTTGTAACATGAAAACCCTATTTGCAGGGCGTAAGCCATTGTTGGCTTCGGGAGAAATATCTGATGGGAAAAATGTCATTTTCTCTTTTTAAAGTTTCTCGAGTGTATAGTATACAAAATACTACTTCAAAATGAACAGATTTTTGAAAACTATCAATAAAAATCCCCTCTCAAAATATAAAAAAACTAGTTATATTGTTTATCACGTAGGAGTCGATGCTGTACTTAAAAATGGGTAAATGTCATGTTGGGCTTAGTTTAATTAAATTTTGAAAATAAAAATAAATTCACGCGCAGTACTTGAGTATTTGTTTTGTTTGTTTTAAGTTAAGCAAACAGCTATACAATGGGCTATCTGTGCTCTGCCCACCACGGGTATCGAAACTCGGTATCTAGCGTTGTAAGTCCGCAGACATACCACTATGCCACCGGGGGGGGGGGTCCCAATTCCCTTACGAAAAGAAAACAGGTTTACTTGATGTTGAAGCACAATGTTCATTTTGATATAAATATTTTCATCGCTACTACGTTCTGAGAAATCATCTTCAAATTCGGTAATTAACATTTAAAGATAAAAAATTTACATCAACAGTTTTTGTATTAATAATTACACATAACAAGATATCTAACGAACTTCAAAGCAGTGATATGACGAATAGATACTTCAAACTAAACAATATCATAGTTGGTTTAACACTTCTTGTTTTATTAACTTAACATCTTAACATAGGAAATAGAAAACAATTTACAAGATACATTTCAAACATTATAGTTTTACCTCCTTTTCATGATGGTGCTGAGATTTACTGATCATTAATGTAAGGTATTTAGAGGTTGATAAAATATATTTGATAAATCTATAATGTTTGGATGTGAAAAAGAAACCTGTTATTCATTTGATTGACATCAAGTACACAAGTTCTGTATTTTTCGTTTCTCATAAATCTTGAGAGTAGTGTTTGCTATTACTCAATGCTTTAAAATATTGATCATGTAGTTTTAGAATTGAAATTTTTATACCGAATGACATTTTATGTGTACGTGAGCTAAAACCCCAGATCAAAAACTATTCTCTAATTTGGAATTACCGAAACGATTACGAGATGCCTCCCAGCGGCTTTGTCAGCTCTTTAAACTGAACAATGGAACTGGCTGTCATTTTTATCACTCTTAAGAGAGCAGAGCAGCATTACACATCGAACCTTGGACCCTTGTATTCACTGCCCAGCACACTAACTACTAAGTCACGCCAGGAGTCAATAATGGAATGAAATAATATATTTTTGTTCCAACGGTTTTCGAATCCATTCTTCACACA